GGACTTGTGGCAGCACAGTAGCCACTGGACTCTCCCCAACACCCACATCCACGTCTGGCCCTCCTGAGCGCCTCCTGGCTCTGTGCGTCCCTAAAACCTTCCAATAAATGGCTGGGCTGACTGCCACTTGTATGCTGGAGGGATGTTCCTGGGAGGACGGGGTCGTCTACACAGACCATAATCCTTCAGTGACGAAGGAGGGGCATGGCGAGGCCTAGTCCACGAACCTGCGACGTGCTCGGCCACTCACTTTCCTGCCAAGGAAGCAGCCCTCGACCACCCTCCTGGGCTTCCCATGTCCCAGCCACGGCGCGAGTGAGCAGGAGAGCGAGCAGAATACACATGCAGACCACACCCCCCTCATGCTGCGCCTGAAGGACACGCCCCGTGTCACCCCGTGAAGCACGCAGGGCTCACAGCCAACAGCGGGCACCAGGGTTCTGCTCTCAGAGAAGCCCCCGGGGAGGCTTGGCCCTCTGGCTCCTCCAGGATGTGGTCCCGGGGGATGTGACTAAGGAGGAGACTCACGTTGTCCCGGATGTTGATGTCGGAGCCCTTGGACAGCAGCAGCCTCACGAGGTCCACGTGTTTGTACTCGGTGGCCCAGATCATGGGTGTCCAGCCTCCATCATCCTAATTTCAAAAGAAGGAAATAAAACCTCATAGCAGCTAGAGGGTGACCTGGAGACGGGGAAGGGACCTCACGGCTGAGGTCGGGGTCTCCCAGGCCCGTCCTAGGGCTGTAACCCAGGGACCTCCCGGGTACAAGAGGGAGGAAAACGCAGGTCAGGCCGGCCTGCTCCAGCCGAGTGCCTGGCAGGATGCCTCAGCACGGCCAGCACCTCTGGAGTGCCATAGGCGGAGAAGCTGCCAGGCTTGGAAGCCCGGGTAGGAGCAGGGTGCGCTGTCCCCTGGTCATGGCGACACTCTGAGCAGAGGAGCCAGGGACTGCATATGGCAGATGGAGACAGGTGTCTAGCCCGAGGGCACGCCGCACCTCCTCCCGAAGGCAGTGCCGCCCGCCAGCTGGATGAACCAGAGCCCACTCTGGTGCCACCCTGCGTTCACTACCCGCCTGGAGAGTTTCATTTAAACCAGAAAAGGCAGTTTTTCAGGAACCAAGCGTCGCATTGCCAATCCTAGTCTGGAGGCAGAAGACGCAGCCTTCTCCCCATCAGCTCTGCAGACCTGTCCACACGTCCCCCAGTGCCCTGCCCCTGCTCCACGGGCAGTCGTGCAGCCCCACATTCCAGGAGGGTTTTCTGTGTGAGGCAGGTGGGGGGTAGACAGTGGCCAACAAGGCAGGGAGAGGGTATGGGAGCCATAGGCCATCGTGGGCCTGGGTGTGCAGATGCCTCACTGAGCTGTCTGAACGCACACCCGACATGCCGGGTGGCCAGGTGGCCACCAGGGAGAGGCCTTGGGCTAGCACAGCACAGAAGTCGTCGTGGCATGAGGTTGGTGGGGGAGTGGGAGTGGCGTGGCCAGACAGAAGGCCTGGCTTTACCTGGCAGTTGGCGTCCACCTGGCCACTGGAAAGCAGGTACTGGACGACGTCGTAGTGGCCCTTCTTGGCGGCCAAGTGCAGGCACGTGGAGCCCTCCGCATCCTGCAACACACCCGGGGGGGGACGGATCAGGCCCTGGCCTCCCCGACCATGCTGTGCTCCTGACCCCTGACCCCGAGGAGGTGCCGCTCAGTGCTGAGAAGCCCTTGGCCTTCGACGTGCAGGTGAGGCAAACCCACCACCTGTCACCCCCGTCCCACCACAGCCCAGGCCCTGGCCGGGAGTGGCTCCAGCAGGCCGGAGACTGCTCCAGACCG